GCACAGTTCTTTCGAAACAATTAAACAGCAGAATGTGTGCTGACGCATGTACCCCGGGTCACAACGTCAAATGTTGACAGAGAGATCATTCAACCCACAATTCGACTTATACACAAGCATTACAAAGATCGTTTCGGATTGCTGGTGCGCCTACAACAAACCAAATCGAAGCAAAATTGGACATTGTCTGAAAAGGCCTAAAGAGTGATTATGATTTGTGCAATCTATTTGACTGCTAAATACCGGATGACGCAGCTGCTCAATCACACAGCGAAAAAAATCTTTCGCTGACCCCTGGTCTGATCAGAACTTCCAGCGTTTTACGATCAAATTGTGCCACCTACAAATGCATTCAGTATACACGTAAAGTAGATCACAACGGGACCAAGAGTCAAACGGTCTTTCAAAACAATGTTAGACCTGTACGACTGGACACATGCTGACCGTAATCGTTAAAAGACTTTATTCTTCGGTCTTTTCAGATTTTTAACAGGCTAATTAATCTTTTTATGGATATTGGATTTACCTATAGGATCGTAGGTCACGATTCATTATCAACATCGCTTCACGTAAGACTGTTGCATGGTTGTGATGAATGACTTCTTAATTTGGCTAAATTTATCTGCAGTAATTGATGATAGGCTGGTACAGATTTTACTTGGCATTTTTTTAATCTTGTTTCGTCAGCAACTGCTTTTCTGCTGATTATTTGGTTTTGCAATTCTGATCCGCAGTGCAAGAGACAGTCTGTGTCAGATCATATCTGCTGCATCACTGATATGAACTTGATTATTCACCCTTCCAGATTAGCGAGATACTTCTCCTTAGTTTGCTTAATTTAAAATGCTTGTACTCTTTACAGGCGAACGATGGACGCCAGATACGCACGACATGGTGAGGTGAGAAGAATCTGTGACCTCAGAACGCTACAAAACGTAATTTTATATTGTTTGTCACGGTAGACTAGTGGGCAATAAACTTACTAGTTCCGCTTTCCTTAAATTAATGATATCTGATATATAGGAGCAGAATCCTCAGAATACTTCAACGAATACCTACTTAGACAAATGACGTAATCTAACACTTAGCAGATTTTTTTTTCTTTGGCTTGTGCTGTCAAGCGCTCATTAAAATAGCTCAGAAGGAAAACAAGCTAATCAAGACCTTTCGTATTTACTAATTACTTCATGCAAGGAATTAATGTCAGAGTGATTCAGTGAAGTCGCAGAAGTCTCGATATACAGCGAGCATTGCAACGGAGCGTTCAACAGATCAAACTCAGAAACAACAGATGTACGAGAAAGTGAGTGAAAATCGACTGAGCTCTAAACGCTAGGTTTGATATGCCCTCTCCTATGTTTTTACTTGAACGGGTTACCAAGAAGGGAAGAGATTTTCAAAGCCCTATTGTTACAGTTTATTTTTACCTGCAAGTTCGATTCATTTTGTTGTTGCATCTGTTGTTGTTGCTGCTGCTGTAGCTGTTGTTGTTGCTGCAGTTGCTGTTTCTGCAACTGCTGCTGCTGTAGTTGTTGTTGCTGTTGCAACTGCTGCTGTTGTAACTGTTGCTGTTGCTGCTGTTGCATGTGAAGATGCTGTTGCCGGAACAGTTTGCGTAGCATTTCTGACTGCTCTTCTGGTCTCATCTGCATCAACTGTTGGCGGATATTTTGCGGGAGATGTTGGAGGACTGAAAGGCAAAGCAGTGAACTGAAGAAATAACTACCGCCTTTTGAGACAACGAAACAAACGTACACTGCTGCACTTCGGCCGGAGTGCGAAGATTGGGCACCGATGGACGAGGACCACTGACCGGCTGTTGTTGCTGCTGCTGCTGAAGTACCATCACATTTGGTCCTTGCTGTCCCGATTGACTGGGCATCATTCCGCTCGGGGCGACGCTACTGGGTGCAAACGCCTACGCAACAATACACATTAAAGAAATCTCATCAAAGAAAAATTCGAAAGCTGAAAGTTTAACAGTTGAACAGTGTTACCAAAGAAGCTTGCTTTAAACACACATGATAACAAATAGGAGTGAACTAAATGAACAAAAAATAACCATGAAACTGAAACTTAACTAAAACAGAATATGAATCAAACTACGAAGAAATTGACAGTCGAACACAGGTCACAACAAAAAACGTGAAAAAAACAATAATATTTAAAGTGCTCGAAATACGATTAAATATAGTCCGAAATGCACGCGATTTAAACTCGCTTCTATCACTTATAACTTACTACCAAAATCTTTTAATATAATTCCATGGTTTTCATGTTCCCTATGGGACTGCTGAATTTGTAATAGAAAATACCAGCAGTGTGAGCCATACATTATTTATTATGAATGCATCGGTAATAAAATCTAAATGCGATGTAATCCGGTAAGAAATACAACTCTACACATATCAGGCTTCATCCTATATACAGCAGACTTCAGATGCAAAGTCGATGAAAATTTTGCTCTGGATTCAACAGTAACTGCGCATTCCAATGATTTAGAAATTAAATACGCAAATAAATTTAAATACATTAATATTTGGCAAGTTCAATCGACAAGAAGTGCTAGATCACTTTGAAAACTTCCTTTCGCGAACACTTACTACTTCGAAACATGAAAACATCCGACACGCAACTCTTCATGAGCAGAAAGGTCGTGAAGTTCACCGAAAAACAGTTTCGAACATATTTTCTCTGTGTTTATTTAAATTTTATTTTTTCAAATTTGCAACATGCAAAACAGCATTATTAAAAACATTTCAACAATTAGTTTCTTTCTGCATTTCTGCATTCCACCACGTGTTTTCATGAACATAGCAAAATGCATAAGGAAAACAGGTTTGAGATGTTCTACGGATGACAAAATGCTAATGAAAAATTTTTTCTACGTTTCCTATAAATCGGTATGCATATTAATTCTTATTTTTAGAAGCTAAGCATTCAGAGAATAGCCCTGGTCCACCTTTCGTTTGTAATCATCACATGTATACTTGAATAATTCCGTAACTTTTAAAATATTACAACGTTTCCTTTAAATACTGATACCGCACAGCGTAAAGTAAAAATAGCATTACTTTTTTACTTTAGACCGATACTGCGTTAGTCTGAGACTGATGGAAATCATTGCATCGAGTTTCAGTGCAACGCTGCATCACCTCCTTGCTTTTAGCCGCGTACGAGGACCATTCATGTACGACACCATTCCATAGTGTATAATTGCTTAAACTGCATATGACGCACTACCACGTCACTGTTTTGGACTGAGCAAGGACATGTTCGAGCATCAACAAATTTACCATTATTCATTAGAAACAATTGTGCGGCATGGTACTGCGGTAAAACCCGGCGTAATACCTTCTATCATTCATACGCTACTGCTACTGCAGTAACGGTGTGAGGTAAGAAAACATTTTCATACTTTTCAGGTGCGTCTTCGCCTCTAAATCAGTATTTGAAAGGTAATATTTATCAGCGGAAGCGGAAGATTGAGATTCACAGTAGCCACCTCAGAATATCCGGGTCAGATATTTTACTTTCTACTTAGTTATAGCTTTAACATTTTATTCTTTAACACTCAATTCTTCAGGCATTATGGATATAAAAAGTTTTACATCGCTTAAAAAAGCTAAGAATCTAAGAATCTTTCATATCATATAAGCTGCAGCGGCACTGCACTCGTATTGCACAAATACGTAGATGTTTGAAAGTCAGAATTGGTCAACAACACAGGAAAGCTATCTGCAGTAATTGTGATTCACGTTCTGGCTACGTTGTTCATCATAGCTTTAACATTCGCGATGCCAGAATTATGATAAAATGAAGCTAATGAAAAAACATTACTCATCGACCTCCACTAGCAAAAGTAGGGCATGTAATGATAAAAAAATCTAATACGATATATTTACAGTACTAAGTAACAGGTTCTTGCGTTGGCGGTTACACTGACAACAAAAAGTACGATTTATTTACACAATGAAACGACGTTTCGATCAATGGCTCCAAACATAAGAACAGCTAACAACGACAAAAATACTCGTGTACTCGACAAAAGTATGAAGCCAACCCAACTCTCTAACTTGAAGAAAGCGAATGAAACGCCTGCCGAAACATCGGCATTGGTCAATCAACGATACTCATTGTGTACGAATAAACCATGCTGCTCGTTGTTTTCAACATTTACAACAGGGGTTTTCAACACTGTTAGCTACTTCAAACGGGCTGACATGTTTCAGCTGCTTTTGAGAAAATGGATGGTTACACTGCTTTACTGAAGCCCATATTCTAGAATAGAAATATTTACCTTGTTTTCTTTTGTCACTAATCGTAGAATCGAAGTAGAAGACCACCTTCAGTCGCCGACGGCATGGTATCAGCAAAAGTTGCCAAAATTAAGTAAATTTGAAAAATGTAAATTTAAGGTTTGATAACTTTAATCAGTAAGTTCACAAGCTGAGGACAGCGATTATCCGTTACGCCACGCCTCTGAACGGAGGAGGCAGACAGCGCGATGCCATTACAGCACGTCAGAAAAGGCTCCACGGAAACGACAC